GGGGCGGGGCGGGAGGAGAGCTCGGAAAGGGTGGGTATTACTCCCGGAGTCTATCTGTAGCTCCAGTCCACGACTGAGCTGCTGGCGACCTGCTTTTGATGGGCATCTAAGCCTTCTGTCCTAAATGTCAGGATGGGAAAACCTTGCAGCAGGGAGCTTTTCCTTCGGTTCTGTTTCCACAACACTCAAATTCGCTAGCACTCCACTGACACCCTCCGCCCCCAATTTCTCCCTGACACGCTGCACAAAGAAAGTTGAGAGGTAGACTTCAGACGGTAAAATCAGACCGCCTCTGCCTCAGGCGCAAACACAGACCCGAGTATGACTGTGCTCGTGCGGGGGGGGGGTGGGGGGGGGGGGGGGGGGGGGGGGGGAGAAGGCAGCCCCTGGGGGCAGTGTTGCAGAAGCAGAGTGTAAGGGCGTTTGCCCTGGAGACTGGAAGGCTGTGTGTGCACGAGGTTCTACGTGAATGGGGTCTGCTGTCCTGCGAAGGGAGATCGTGGCCCTTGGGCGGTCAGGGAAGGATGGGCAGGTTTTCCAAAGTCTCTGTGCTGATGAAGGTGGGGGCAAAAGACCAGGTGCTACCTCCTGCTGTGTGTTTCTGGGGAGCCTGTTGGTGGGCATCTGTGTGCTTAGTGGGAGATGAGGGCTTGCGGGAACATAGGTGCAACTAATGAGAAATCTGTGCCTGGGAAGGGTGTCGGAGCAGGAGAGGTGCAGCGTGTGGGAGACAGATGGCTCGTGCATGCCTGCACAGACACGCGGGGTGGGTGTGGTGAAGGAGGACAGCAGGGCTGTGTGTGAGCTAAAGGTGGACCTGTGTACCAGGTTAGGTGCCTGAGGATTACCAAAGGGGTGTGCGTTGGAGGGGGATCCTCTGCGGAGGGCTGAGTGTGAACTTTATGAGTGCGCTCTGGGAAATCTGGCTGGGCTGGCACTGGGGCACGTGGAGGATGGAAAAGTGTGTGCTCAGATGTTCTATGGAGGAAAAGATGCTGGGCTGATGTCAAACTGCTCCCCCTCCCTGCTTTCCTAGAGAGGAGAGAGTTGCAGAAGACTTCAAATGAGGGATGTACATTTAAGGGGAAAAGTTCTGTGTGCTGGCGCTGAGCAGGGAACAGTGCATAGCGTGGATGAGTGCAGGAATATATTTTGCATACCTCGCGGTAGGAATGCATATTGCCTAATGTTCTATAATAGGTTTTTTTTTTTTTTACTTAATAAGAGAATTTACTGTCACCAATGGATATTGATTATCAATTAAAATGAATGGGATGTCTGCTTGATACTCAGCCCATTGCTAGGCACTGAGGCATGGCACAATGCCCTGGAAAAATTCCTTCTCCAGACTCAGCTGGTTGCTACAGTGTTGCCAGGAATGGAGAGAGCTGGATGCTTGCTGAGCTTTTTTTCAGGGTCTATAATTCACTTTCTAGCGATGTTGATGTGTCTTGGGGGCTTGAAATGTCTCTGTGGTTTTGTGAAAAGAGGGTGTAAAGATAGGGATGATGCATACTTTTGTGTGTCAGAGAGGAAGCTGGAGAGTGTTACTACCTTGTAGGGGGCGTGGGCTGGGAGTTGGAGGGTGCTGCTCTCCAGGTCAGAAAGCAGGTCCCACTACCTTTGAGTTCCTGACATGTACAATCCTTCCTTCCTAATAGGAATGACGCTTGATGTGCGGAACTGGGGGAGTGTGGAGTGGTGATCAGGGGGGGACATGCCAGCTGGCACTGTTGGTTCACCTTTGGTGTTTTCTGGGTAGAGTCTAAAGCCAACCTGAGTGTGTTTGTGTGTATGCACACATGTGTGCACACATGTGCATGCTTCAAGGGCTAGAATTAAAGTAACAGAGAGAAAATCAGCCAGGAGGTGTGGAGGGAGTACATATTCTGGCTCTAGAAAAAGGATGCGTATTTTTGCATGTATTCTATGCATCTGGGGAGGACGAACTTGTCTAGAATGCTTTGGATATGTAGCTTAAGTGGAAAAAAGTGTAGATACACAGACTATAGGCTGTGGAGTGAGGGGAAGGGAAGCTGGTTGGGCTCAAACCCTGAGATAAACTTACAGAGGTAAGGCGACTGGCTCAGTGCAGGGCGAAGGATGTGCTTTCATGCTTTGCCTGTCTGCCTGCCACCTGGACAGGGAACCCCATTCAGTTAGGTTCTGCTCATGTGAGGGGCCTATGTTTGCGGACACTTCATTTGACTTTACTTGGCATTTTTGAATTTGTGGAATTACCGCTGTGCCATCTTGAGATTCTGCCCCACTCTCTAGGAGAAATTGATCTATGAACAGGATGGTTGATGCAGGGCTTGGCCGGCGGTCACCAGATCTGGGGGCAGGTATTGCTGAGGGCAGTGTGGTGAAGTGGAAGGCTCTGTTGGCACGGACTTGATTCTAGTCCAGTTGACTACTCTGAAGCAGTGTGACTTGGGGACTGTCCCTTTCTCTTCCTGTAAGATAGCAATGTCGATAGCGACTCAGGAGGAAAAGCTAATTTCTCTTTTCCCTCCGCATACTGTGATGTGTTTCATTGTGCAAAACTGCATGGAGATGAAACCTAAACAGAACGCAGGTGCTGGGATACATGGGAGTCACTATAAAAGTGGGATCTGTAATCTTCACATTTATAATGCAAGTTAATACACAGTCTTCTCCCCGCTTCCCCTTCACCGCTGTGCCACTGTGTGAAAACCAACTTCCTATACTTTTCTGTTTGCTCATCTATAAACTGAAGTAGCCAAACCTAGACAGCCGTTGGTGGAAATCTGTAAGGTCTTTGAGCTATTCAGAAGAAAGCTGGTATAATAAACAGTATTATTTACCATCTAAATCAGACATTTTCCTAATTTTTAGCTTCAGCTGGGCAGATCACAGTGCCAAAACAACTGTGACTCTAAGAACAGAGAAAATAGTAATTATCCTTAGTGTGGCAACCGTCTGAATAACGGAGGAGCAAAGTCCAGCCATCCTGTGTTACTATCAAGGGCTTGTTTTTCTCTAGACTGGGGTCCTTGGCAGGCAAGAGCCTTCCTGGAAAGGAGGAGGGCTTGGGTTTCAGAATTTGGGAATCGCGTGTACCTGGTAGAGCAAGGTGGGTACAGCCATTTTTCTCCAGGGACAAAGATGGAGGCCTAGAGGGTCCAGAAAACCCACTGGAACATCCGAGTCCTCCCTGAAGTGAGCACACGCTGTCAACGTCTGGCACAGAGTCAGGCTCCCATCCTTGAGTGCAGTGGCCATAAATAGTCAGGAGCTAAGCTATTTCCATGAGGCACTAAACCAATTCTGTTGCTTTTCTTGGCGAGATCAGGCCAATTAAGTTGATTGGAAGAGGTCACTGCTGATGGGGTTCGCATTCCCCAGAC